ATCAATTATATCACTTCCGTTTTAGCTATATCACAAAGTAAATAGGAAAAAAATTTTAATTCAAGTGAAAGAATTCTAAAAGTGTATATTCCAACATTTGTTTTTTTTTTTTTAAATTATAATAAAAATATATTGAAGTCCAAAAGTTCAAAAAGAAGTAGTCAATTTTTACAAAAGAGTTTGTTAGTAATGTTAACAAGCTTGATATTGTATGGATAGAAAAAATTAAAAATAACGAAAAATGAAATCTAAATTTATTAATAACTTTATATTGATATCTGTATTTTTTTAGATCAATAAATAACAAACTTTACATTTATCATTAATTCTATTATAATAATTGATATTTTATTTGCATCTAATAAATTGAGCTGTAGTTAATTTTGTAAGTCAAATTAATATTATTTCATATTTCGTAAAATTAAAAATACCATTTTTCTTGCAATTATAACGATTCACGTTTTCAATTCTTAAATAACAGTCTGATGAAGTAACAATTGATATTTAAAAAAGTGAAAATCTTTTCCATAATAGCAGCAATAACATATTTTTTTCCTTTTATAGCATTGTTCTCATCTTTTATTAATACATTCTTACTCGAAATTTTAAATTAAATTTTCTCACATTATGGTTAAAAACTGCAAAAATTTATGAACAAAAGTATGAGTGTTCAGCGAAAATGGAAATTACTGCATGCATTTTACTTCAATAATCCAAAAATTTTTATCAATCTTACTGGGAAAATCATTTAAAAATTAACACTGGGACGAAAATGTAAAGAAACCGAAAACGGATTGAAATATAATTGAGAAATGAACAGTGTTAAACTTTCAAATGGCCGAATTTTTTCTCCATGAATTATGAATGATGTAAATGTATTAGAACCATTTTAATTCTCATTATTTCTCTCAATTTTTTGATAATTTATTTCGCTGATTTTAAGTTATCAAAGATTTATAACTGAAATATGACGGCAGTCGTTGAAATAATTCATTTTTTATCAACTTTGTCAACAGTTGAAATCATTCAATCAAAAATTATTAACCTTTAACATTTCCATAATGAATTTTATACCAATGAGATGAGAGCGCTTTAAAATTCATCATATATTTAAAATTTAGAACTTGTACACTTATATACTGATAAGATATATCGTATGCATCTTATCAGCAGAATGAAATGGTGAAAAATTGTGGAGAAAGATAAAGAAGTGAAAAAATTTATACTTTATATGGAAATCCAAATGAAAACAAAGTGCTATCGAAATATTAAATTTAGTAATACTTAATGATGATATTTCTCATCTCATCATATTTTCTTCATTATCTTTCCATTTTGCATAATCATTGAATGAATTGTTTCCAGATTAATGGATTTTTGCATAATTTTCTGCTACAATGGATTTTTAATTATTCTCTATTGAATTTTTATAGTCCTTGAAATTTTTGAAATTAAAAAAAAAAAAAACTTTTCAAGAGCATCAAATGAATGATTTCATTTATTTCGTTCATTATAATTACTCCAAAATACATTTGAATTTTTTTTGTTCAAAATGTACTGTACACGTACGAATAACAATATGGATCACTCAGAAAAAGAAAATTGTTACAATATAACAAATAATGTTCAATTATGATTATTTTATTAAACAATTATATGATTATTCAAATTATTCAAATGCAAAATGTAAGACAGAAATAGTAAAATGAAAATGACGAAGAATGGAGACGGAGACGAAAAAGTAACTTCACTAACGAGTATTTTAAAAATTTTTAATTTTTCCATAAACTATAAATTATAAATTGAATTGTAAGAAATTATAAATTGTAAAAAATTTTAATATGTGATGAATTAGCCGGAAAAATTGACAATATTACAAACATACGCGATAAGGTCATTGTATATATAACCTTACTTAGTGTATTGCTGTGCCATCAGATGAGAAATACGTTGCATTAAATGACCGAAAAATCCTTATGATCTTTGTCATTTATTCTTTTTTATCGTGAATTGAATTTCTATCATTCTCTTTTTTCTCGTAAATTGAATTAAATTAAATTAAATAAATTAAATAATCCATTTCAAAATTTAATTGAATTATGGCAGAAAAAAAAGGAAAAAGAAAATGTCGGTAAGCTCAAATATATTTTTACACGTTTGTCTTGAATAAATGATGAATGGAAAATTTTTGTATGCTTCTGTGAGCAAATTTTCATTCCTCTCTCCCTCTCTTTCCCTCTGTCTCTCTCTCCATCTCTCCAACTCTCTGTTTTTCTCTCTGTCTCAAGTAGAAATAAGAATGAATGATAATTGCTCTCTTGAATATTTTATTCTTATTTAATCAATAATTTTGTTAATTAAATTGAACAAAAAATAAACTCTAAAACATATCAAATATTAAAGATTACGTATTTTTCGGAATTTTGCTTTCCGGAACCTTGCCAACAATTCACGTTCACGTAATTTTACAAATAAAAACAAATCAATTATTAAATAGTACAAATAATGCAGATCAAGATCAAAAAAAGATATGAAATAAGCAATATTTCAAAACTAAGAAGCCAATCTGAAAATGCTATAAATACTTTCATATTTCCTTTCATTCTTATAACCTGGCTAACTTGGCTCTTTATTCATCCTTCTAATCTGGCTAACTTGACTAATTTGACTTTCCATTCATTCTTACAGATTCACTTTCTACTCATTTTTATATTTTGGATAATTTTAATTTCCTATTAATTCTTATAACTTAGTTAACTTGGCTCAAGTTTTATATGCCTCAATTTTGGAATGCTGAGGAAAACAACATGTAATCTAACAAGATCTGTTGTATCGTTAAATGCCAGCAACAAATCTTCTGCAAAGGTAGATATTAAGCAATTGCAGTTATGTATAGAAAATTTTATAGGTCAAGATGGTACTTGCTTATAAATTACAATTATGGAAATTTTTTGGACAAATAACAAATATTGAAATTTTCAAATAATGCTTTTGTTTGCTTCAAAAATGTTTATTTAGAAATTTTAGTAAAAACTGGGTTACGTTTGAATTACAATTGTTTGCTTATCCATTTTTTTTTTCTTTCTGCAATATATTAAATGCATGCCTTAGTGATGACACCACTTATCCAATTATTTTGACCTTGAAAGCTGATCTCGTCTTTTTTCTTTTCCAAGGTGTAGAACCATTGTTCAGCAAAAATTCAGCACTTCTGAATATTTTTGGAATAATTTAAATCTATCAGGGCATCATTAAATTAAACGTATAATTATAGCTTTTTGAATAGGTACATTTATCGGATTATTACCTGTGTATTTCGACATCGAACTGGTCAAAAATTAAAATACAAATTGAATGATTTTAAGTTTCATTTTCCATAGATTAAATGAACAGATAAACAATACAAAAAATATATTTGATGTTAAGAATTTATCAGTAAAAAACAAAAATATAAATTCATATAAATTATTAAGAAAAAGAAAAAGGAATATTTTATAATAGAAGTAAAAAAGAATTTATCTGCTGATTTCATTTTATTTGAATTAGTAAAAGAAAGTGTTTCTATATCAAACACTTTATTTTACCAATTAATTCTCAAATTTTCGTCAATTATTAAAATTTCAAAAAAATAATCATTCGAATGATATCGTGGTACCGTAAAATGGGATGGGTTTGTTGCATATCGCTTCTCCGGAAAGGCGATGAATAATCAGTGGGAGTGAAATTTCACCGGAATTGGATGGAAGGTATTTGGTTATTGATGGGTATTGAGGAAGTTTGCCGGATTTACGCATTCCTGCAACCTTTCCATCTTTATGTTTCCCTCTTCACCTGCTCCTTCGATTTCTTACCTGTACAATGAGATTTCTGGAAAAGAGAATTTTATGCCCTTCATTGATTCATTGATAAGAAATAAATCGAATCAACCGGGAAAACTTAGCCAAATCTGTAACTTATCACTGATCCTCACAAAAGCATAAATTTGGAGAATTTTTAACCATATCCATATATCGATAAGTATGTGTCTGTTTGTCTGTATGAGTGTCTGTGTGTTTCGGTTCTGACGTTTATGTCAAGTTTTACATACATTTCAGTATATTTTTGAGGAAGTCTCGGGAAATAGGTAGCTCGTGGAGGAGGAATTAAACGGAACCAGTAAAGTTTAAGTTATAACGTGTGCTACCATGGCACGGTAGTCAAAGAAAGAAAAAGAATCTGAGATGATTGGTTTGTATGTTATTATCACGATTATTAATATTAATAAGCCTAAAATAAATTCTTTGAGAGAGTATCTTCTGAGCATTATTCCTAGACTTTTTTTTCACAATTATCATAAAGTTTTGAAAAAGTTGCATCTGTTCGCATGTTCTTCATTCTTTAACTTCTCTAATAGAATCCCTCAGCTTTTTAATGTACATCTGATTTTATCTCTACTAACTCATATATTTTCATTAACGAAACACTTTGCATTCAGTGATCAGAAAACTTTTGCACAATAATCGTTTTACTCTCCGCTGTTACTTTTTTAATCAATTAATCCCACTTTTATAATCACTGTGTTCTCTCTGACAGTAAAAGATGATATCAGTGAAACTGTTCATAATATATGGTTTAAGAAGCTATGACTGTTTTTTTCTATTTCGTGCTGTTAGTAATTTATTAATCTTGATTGGATATTTTGTAGTATTGTTTCATGAATTGCAGCAAAACACTGCAAAATGAGTGATTGCATTTTAGGATGGCTTGTTTATTATTCATTAGTTTCATTTAATCTTCAAGAATCACACGTATACTTATCGAACTTAAGATGCTATACGCTTCCTCAAAAATGCTATACTGCTGATTTTTCTGCACTTTCCGGATGATATCTTTATGTTATTCAAAAATTTTCAGACTATTATATCCAAACATTGCAGCTTATTTTAATAGAAGCAACGTTCTTTTCTTGTTGCTTTGGTTTGTCCAATCAAAGAAATAGCCGCTTGTGTTGCGTGAACTTTATGGCGCGAAAAAAGGAATATGGTGGGATGACTGCTGATTCAAGCAGTACTGCTAGTAGTGATGGGAAACGTATTCCAAAAAATAATATGCCGAATGATGCACAATGTAAAATGGATTTAAATCGATTGAATCCGACTTCGAAAAGGAAAGAGGTACGTCTTTCAATGAATTAAACTTTATCGGTATTTTAGCACAATTTATTTAAATTTTCTTGACTTCTGTTATAACAATAGTTCAGTTCAATTTTTTTAACGGAAATAGAAAAGAAGTGGAAAAATTTTCCGGCCTTTCAATCGATATTAGGACCATTACACACTGTTTCAGGCTGCATATCCGGAAACAAGCGTACGAAATGTATACGATGTTGCTGATTTGCGTGCGCAACTCGGATCTTTTGGTTTAACTGTTCGAGATATTCCAGGAGACGGAAATTGTCTTTTCAGGTAATTTTTTCGATTTTATAAGCCTAAAATCTGCTAATATTTAGAAAACGATTAACTTGTGCATCTGCAATTGTAGTCTTATTATTTAAAAAATATTTAGTTCCTAGCTGCATTTGTCATTTCCACAAATTGAAGTTTTTCTTTTTTAGGGCTTTGGGCGATCAGTTGGACGGTCACACAGGAAATCATTTAAAGCACCGCCTTGATACAGTTCGGTTTATGATAAACCATCGCGATCACTTTGAGCCGTTCATCGATGTCCCTTTCGATCGCTATGGTTAATTTTCTTGATAAAGTTTTGGACGAATTTGTTTTTTTTTAAAGTCTATATTTTTCTCACGAATATTGGCTTTTCCGGCTTCATTGGTTTTGCGTTTCGAAATCTACCAAAACTATTTTGGTTGTCATATCAAATTTTCAGAAATACAGTAGCTACTGCGTGTAAAACATCGTGGGAATGATCTTTTAAAATACTGAAATTTAGTTTAGATTTTTTTCATATTCAAATTCTCTGAATTGATTAAATTTTCTAGCTAGAAATCAAATTCCAAATTTCATAATTTTTTCTGCTTATTGAAGTCATGTGCAGTAAAAGGATAGAAAAAAAAATTTATACCAACTTATGTAGGCGATCGTGTTATGACAGATACTTACTAAAAATAATGAAAGTTTTAGTATAGAGTGCAAAACGAATGTAATGGTGTGTTTTGATATCCCAGAAAATCTGAAACATGGATTTAGTATCAGAAATTTGATTTTTCGTGATTTGGTTTACAGTAAATGATTTGAGCCGACCCGGTACATACGCTGGCCAGGACGCGCTTGTGGCGTTTGCACGTTTGCACGAGGTAAACATCATTATACACCAACTGAATAGACCACTATGGAAGATTCAGGGTTCTGAAGATAGTAATGCTCCTGAACTTCATCTTTCATATCACAACGGTGAGCATTATTCGAGCGTCCGTCGTTTCGGTGATATCGCTAATACTCCGGCTGGAATACGCATTATGGTACGAAATTATTATTTCTGAAACAAAATTCACTTGTACCGATTTGACTTTTTATCAACTATGACTATCTCGCTGTTGTAAATAAGAAGCTTTAATCCACTATTATTAAAATGTAGAGTGATGTTTATACTACAAAACCACCACTGTTAGATAGCTATCAACAATTTTGGAAATTAGGATTTTAAAATCCTTAACACTGTGCAAAATATATGAAATTTATAGACATCCATGGTTTTATTTAAAGTTTGAAATCTGGGCTTTATTTTTTTTCTCAACATTACAGCACTATGTGATCATGTTCCAGAGTACTGAAACCTATTGACACCAGTGGCTCAAAGGTCATTGTTCAAAAATACAAACACGTAGTTGCTTGCACACATCATAGAAATACTGTAGAAACTTGACTGATATGAAAATATATGTAGTGATCCTATTTTATGTTTATAAACTGAACTAAGAAAAAGAAAACGAATGATTCATTTCTGGAACCATAGTATTAAGGTAGTATTATTTATCAAGGATAAAATTCTGTTTTTACAGGCACCAACTACTGTTCCGTGTTGTGCATCACACAGTGTCTACACATCTACGAAACCTATCACTTCGCATGCGAATTCTGGTAATTTGCAGCAGTCTGCAGCAAATTTACATAAGCATAATGTAGATGCTTCAAATGAAAGAACTGTTCATACGTATTTGTATGGCGAAGACGAATTTACCACTTTAGTTCATGAAGTATATTTCATTAATTTTAGAAGAGAGCCCTTTTTCATTAATACATGTTTTATATATTTCATATAGAATAGCGATTGTAAATAAAATGTTATACATAAATTTTTAATACAATCTAAGAAAAAATGAAAATTGGTTAATTTTACGTTTTGTTCAGACTTATAAATTGCATTTTATTTACCAGTTTGTATTGAAATTCTGTTCAGTTTTTGCTTTCTAAAGATGATAATATCACTATTCTTCATTTCGTGTTATTGATCAGGTGATGAATCGTACTGGATGCCGTGATGCTAGCTTGGCTACAGAGGCTTTGATAGAAAATTCGGGAGATTTAGATCAAGCCGTTGATTACCTATTGTCACTTGCGTTATTTGTTGATCCTAGCAATGATGGAAATCTTTCCAAAGCGATGAACGAAAGTAATATGGAAAGGACAGGTGAGTAATGGAACTTACTTTTCATTTTTGGTTTCGGTTGAAGAGGAATGAATGTTGAGATTGAAATAAAATCAACATGCTCATTTTCATTCATAAAATGTATAGCGCAGGATATTTCTGGGTTCTTACTCAAAATTTGCTAAGATAGATAATTCAATAATTCAAGCAGCGTTATGATAATACATCTTTAAGAAACATCTCTACTGTTTTTTTTTCAGTTTCAAACGTAATACTGTTTTTCATTTTAGAACACAGAATATTGAAAAGCCGAAATGCTGATGGTGTTGACAGGCATCGTACTTTGCCAGCTTGTCCAAGTCGTGGTAGTATTGAGGTATTTTCCATTATTTCTTGTGCTAGTGGGAATTTTTGGATTATTTCTGTTTATAGAAAAAAACACTTTAAACTACAGAACCCGAATATGCACTTTTTATGCGATGCCGACTCTTTCGAATGGACCATTAAGATTGATACATTCAGCTAAATTTGATGTATTTAGCTTATCATGGCTTGGAATATCCAAATCTTGTTCTCAATAACTTGTGAAAGAAGTGGGGAAAAGGATGTGGGAAATAATATTAGCAGTTTTAGCAGTACCGGTTTTCAGATTGAATCATATCTCCATTTTCCAGGTCTTATTTTGAGGTTGAAGTAGTAGGCAATGAAATTTACAGTTTCTAGCACACTGCATAAAAGGCCATTTATCACTTCTGTGAGTAGGGGACCAATATCCTTGTTGTTCAGAGACAGATCATCAGTTCACATTGAAAAAAGGTCTAAGGATATTTTCTAATCTGTGAATGTTTTAGCTAATAACTTCTGAGCAAGAAGAGAAACGGGGACGCAAGCAAGGTGGTGGTAATATATCGGAGGAACATGTAAACAAGCAAGGCGATCTTCGTTTCTTGACATTATAATTAAAAAATATCTGCCATTTGTTCTTTCAGTATACTTTCTCTAATCACGGTTTTTGATCATCGATTTAGTGGAAATCTTTCAGTTCCGTGTAACGTTAACTGTGTTTCATTATGATATTACGGTTATATTGTATGTACTATCACGCTTGAGTGTTTTGTTTGGTAATGAATATTTGAGAGCTCAACATGATGGTCTCGCTTAACTCTTGTTTAAGCTCAACATCCCGATTTTGGAAGCAGAAAAATGAAATCTGAATCTGCTCAGTACTGTTGCAAAGGGTTTATAGTGACATTGATGCGGAGTGCATTTTATCTATTTATCCTTACAATAATTATACCAACTTCTAGCCTCCTCTCTTTTCCGCCCAAATAAAAAATTTAAAGAATAATGGAAAATTTATGGCGTTATAATTTTACCGAAGATCAATATTTAATAGGTATCTGTACAGTTTGCATTTTAGCGTTAATTTCATTCAATCGTAGATATTTCATATACCCCTTACCTTGGCCCATTTCTCCTCTACAATTGGAAGAACACTTCTTTAGTAATCAAATATGTGGAACATGTTAGTAAAGTTTAGAATTACTTATTCAAATTGTATTAGTTCATCTGATAAGAAATAATGAAGAATTTCTTTCCCTTTTAATTAGTTTCTTCTAACAGATGGCATCCTAACTATATACAAATAGCGGGTAATGACGCTAAATTGCTATTGTAATAATATCCATACCCATCCCATAAATGTAGTAACTACCACTTATTATCACTACCATAGGTAGTACTTTCCATTTTTTATTAAACTTTTTTAAATGTTGTGTATTATGCATTACATGGAATTTTTTTTCCATTTTATATACTGCTATTAGAATGTATGTGTGTGTGTGTGTGTGTGTATGTGTGTATGTATTCACATATGAATTTATGTTTTAGTAAGTTGATTGTTAATAAATTTCATAGAGATATTGCTCTATGTTGCTAAATCATTGTTTGGAGAAGTTGTCAAGAAATCCAAGAATATTTTAGCGTTATAATGTTTGGATGAGATGGTGAGACTATGATAAGAATGTATGGGTTGGCTCACTTGCCCACTATTAACCCTTCTTTGGCATCTAGCTGCCCCTAGAGAATATCTCTCTCGGGTAGAGTACATTTTGAACATGCATCATAGCTGCATGCAGTAGTGAATACATGGTTTGTAACACAGTGTATGAACTACAAATGGAGATGGGAGGGGTTTGCGACACTCGCTCGCACAACTGCAAGCTTCCGCAAGTTAACTTGCATTCCCCGCCCTGCGCGCATTACTCCACCCCTCGAAGGTTGCTTGCCACTCAGTTGTTGGTTGGAATCCATCAGCTGCAATCCGACGAGTTGACTGGTCCACCGTGATGCGGTGATCGTTTCCTTTACCCGCCACCCAACTACCCCACACCTGTCCCACTTACGAGCTTGCGCCTGTGATATGCATGTATGTGCATGCATTTCTTTCATAAGAAGTGCACATGAATACTTGCGTTCCGCGTTGTAAAGACATAAGCGTACATTTGTGTATGTGTATGTGTATGTGTGTATGTGTATGTATGTGTGTGGGTATGTATGTGCATGTATGTGTGTGTGCGTGCGTGCGTGTGTGTTTTGCGTGCGTGCGTGTGTGTATGTGTCGTTCTGTTTGTCTGTCGGTCTATGTTTATGTACGGTCTGTTGTATCTCGGAATGCCACAGTAGCATCTCTGAGTGCTGTGGAATATCGATGCGATAACGCCCAACTACACTCCATTCCGTCCCTCCCATTATTCACTCTCGTCTCTCTGTGCAACGAACCGCTCGCCGAGACGCACCGCCCTTCTCTTCTATTCCATTTCTCCTTTGCTAGCAAGGATTATCGACTATGTTGGGCCGTGATTTATTTGGATGTTGGCCAACATTTTTTGCTCCACCTTACGCTCGAGAGCGCAACATCTGCGCCTGATAACTCATCGCGGCATATTGCGTGAATTACGTGACGAAACGTTTTCTTCTCTTCAAACAGTTTTAACGTAATTACTACATCTGGACTATCTACATTTCATCTTTAATTGCTTGCTAATTTTTAGAGTTGTTATCGTGGGTACTTTTTTTTTTCGTTTCTCATTCATCCGCTAACATTTCGAGTTATATTTTCAACGAGAATGTAGGTGCGAACACTTTAAACGGTATCATTATACGATAGTTTTCTTTCAATCTTTGTCCTCATCTAGCATTCCTCATCAGGTTTTCGTTTATGTTCATTGCAATCATGTTAGTAATATACATAAAATTGAACCGACTTCTGAAATGTGAAGTTCGCGCCAGTTAATCAACGTAAGCACTCATTCGAGCGCACTTGTTCCGTTTCATTTATTGACATAGGGTAGCAGCACCTGTTGATGGATGCACATGTCATCTGTCTTGATGATTTCCGTCAAATATGCCAAGGGTGTCACTGAATTTATGTTAACATTTTTCCTTTATCGCCTACTAATGCTTTAAAAAAAGGAAAACGATTTGTTGCATCTGTACTGTTTTCCAATCCCATAAATGTACATCTTCTAATTTCATTGCTAATTTTTTTAATCTTTTTGAAGCATAGTTGTTCATTCTTGAAAGCTCTCTAGCAAATAAGAATGTTCTGTTTCGTTTTATTCGTTGCTAAATTTTAAATTTGCATAGAAATAAATACCGCAATATGTTTTCGCTATTGCTGATTTCAATTAGTTTGGTGAAATTGCAGCCAAGTGAACATTTTTGGGCCGTAATTCTTTCACTTATAGTACTAGAGTTTTTTTTTGAATACAAGAAAGCTTTATCCGATATCAATCTGTGTTTTCCAGTTTATTCATCATCGTATGTCGTTTTGTCTTGTTTTCTTGAACATTTTATTTATCAACACTAAGGATGTAGCGGGGGAGCCATTACTGGCAAGATTTTTGGCATCAGGTGTACCAAGTTTGAAATTAAAGCTAAGCTTTAATTTTCAGCATATGTTTTCGTTGCAACTCGAACCTCACCTTTCCCACCGTTGTTTTGCTTCCCTCGCTATTCTTCCCGTAATATACTGTTCTAATCCTTCCCTTCCGCGTGTCAGATTTACAGGAAGTTGGCTGTTTTTCTGAATTATTTTCCATTAATTCTTTTACATTTCCTTACCAATGTCAATATGTCAATGAAATTCGTTCAGAATTCATTTCATACGATTCATATTTTATTTTTGGAATTGTTTTTCTTATAGAATTCCTTGATGTCAACGGTGTGTGTGTGTGTGTGTGTGTGTGTGTGTGTGTGTGTGTGTGTGTGTGTGTGTGTGTGTGTGTGTGAAACTTTTAAAAAGAACAACTGGAGTATTGCTAACATGATAATAGGAGGATACACGTGAGGGTAAACCGGAAGAAATGAAGAAGTCATTATGCTCTATTATCGATTGCACTACCGGATAGATGTGGTATACTGTAAGTTGTCAATTATTTTTCGTTCATCTTTCGATTCATCTCCTTCATTTCTTTTTTCCTAATTCTGATTCTGAAAAAGTTGGAATGGAATGGCTTGGAAGAACGAGAAAAGCATTCATTGGACACATTGCTGCGCGGTGGTTTGGTATTTCCTGATGTAGGAGGGGAATTGCTGATTGGAGGGTATGGATTGTTATGTTGGTGGTGGTGGTGGTGGTGGTGGTGGTGGTGAAATGATGATGATGGCGATGGTAGCGGTGATAGCAATGATGATGATGACTGATGATAGGATGAAGGAAAAAGGAGTTAGTGTGATGGTGATGGTGATGGTGATGATGATAATGATGACGATGACGATGCTGACGTTTGCTTTCCTTCCTCTTCTCGGTTTGTGCTTAACCCACCGATATAAGCGTTGTTTCTTTTTCTTTTGCAAGGGGAGGAAGAGAGAGAGGAGAGAGATGGGGGAAGAGAATAGTTGGAAAAGGGAAGTATAGCGAAGAAGACATGCATTGATACAATTGATAGAACGTACGCGGATCAACCAGCTCGCATTCTATTTCTCGATCTCGAAGAATGTATGAAGGTGCTACGGTCGCTTGAGGTTTTCATCGTAGGATGTTGTAACTTATAGGTCGAATAATAGCATGTATGCTTGATAGTGTGGTGAGTTGAGGAGGAGAGGAGAGGAGAGCGGTCGTCATCAAGTACTGGCATAACAGCAATTCGATATAGGAGTGAAAGGGAAAAATTTGGAGAGGCAGTTTGGTGGAGTGAGAGGGATGAGTGGGAATGAATAGAGGTGCAGAGTAGGAGAGAGAGAGAGAGAGAGAGTCGGGTTGCGATTTTGGCGGTAATGGAGGAAGATTTTATGGCCATTGGAGCAGGGATTGGCGAAGTGCCATGAGGGCGAACCGGATCATTGACGCGAAGCATCTCTTGCCGTATGTGTGCGAAGATTTAGCACAGCTCATCCAGGCTACCTTCTCTATCTTTCTAGCTGTGCGATGCAATGCAATGCGATGCGATGCGGCCTGTTAGCACCAATGAAACTCGAGCAGCATACGGCGTGCGATCTCGCGATCATTTATATCGTTTGCGTGCTGCTGCTGCTGCTGCTCATTTCTGTGACATCTGTCCATGTATACATATATATATACATATATATATATATATATGTAATCTGTGTATGTGTGTGTTTGTTGTGTCAAAGTTTGAGTTCATGCTAGGGTAAATGTGGTGACAACGTATATGTCTGCAATAAAAGTGACTAATAGTGTGCTGTGTGTGATGGTATTATGTCGCGTTATATTATCAGGCATTTGTTCGAGCTCTTATTTAGCTTATCCATATTAATCAAGAGTTTTTTTTTTAGGAAGCTTATTAAAGGAAAATATCATCGTTGCGCTTCTTATCTTAACTACTGTTGTGATTTCATTTGGCGTTACCAGTTGAATTTGGTGCATAATTTATTGAACATATCACTGATTACACGTCCCATTTGTAGTTGCGCATTGCCGTAGTAATATAATCATATTGTGAAAATCCGAATAACAGCAATCAGGAAATGAGTGCAGTTGACGAACGAGTCGCTGAAAAGAGGAAATTGGAGGAGAAGGATACTGAAAATGGTGTGGCTGCCAAAGGAGCAAAAATTGAGAATGGAATCGTTGCGGTAAGGTTTTTTTCTTAAGTTTAATGGCTACTGTAACGCAAGATTTTAGCATTGGTACTTTTAGTTAAGTTTTATCCAGTAATGCCTGCTCTAAATATCGATTGATTCCACCACTACCGTATAGTGAACTATTGGAATGGAAAACTTTGTTAAGCTTTGCTCATAGTTGTTGACCATCACGCATTGATGATTATAAAAGGATATTAGCAAAGGAATTTCTAGAATTTGACGTTTCAGAGAAATAATAGTACTTCATTAGTTTTTATCCTTGCTGCTTTTACTTACTTAATGACTTTGGCCTGGCAGAGCTGTTAGCATTGTCATTTCCAGGCAACAGGTGATGCGCAAGTCAGAGATTTGAGACCGGACAAGAATACTCCTTTGAAAGGTATTTTTTTTATTTCTTTTTCCTTTTGTGAATCATCCACTCTATCTCACCACAACTTTTGAGCTAAACTTTTAGAGATTAAAGGAAGATTAAATATATGGAAGATTAAAGCGAAATATATTATTAAAAGGAAGTTGGGAGTTAGGAATTGCTATGCGGGCGGAAATTATTTTTGGAGGTATATGACGCGTGCTACATTATGTAAAGATTAGCACACGCAGTTCTAATTCAATCAAATGGAAAACTTCGACTTTTCAGAAAATAAAGAGAAGACAACTAATGAAAATCATGATGGCGAACACGAAGAAGATGGTGAGGAAGCAGCAGATGGCGAAGAAGGTATTGAAGAATCGAGCGGTGGTGAAGATGATGAAAGTTTAGGTGATGAGGAAGATGGAGGTAGCGAAGATGATGAGGCAAGCATTGGATCTGAGGAAAGCGATGGCCAAGGTGATGGTGAAGGGGGTGATTTTGGTGATGATGACGATGTGGAAGGTGAAGAAGGTGGTGAAAGCGAAGAGTAATGATTATAGTGATGTTGATGCCTACTGCAAATTCTATTTGCCGTTTTTTGTCGTCAGTTTGTTAATCCTGATCTTAAAGTTTATGGAAAGACTGCTTTGTTTCCAAGGTGCCAGTTTGTGGAATGATAAGTTTTCAGGAATGTTTCCTGCTCATTGTGACTTGTTGCGGCGAAAAAAAATTTCGGTGACGCAATTTTTGTTTTTTAGCAGCATTAGGAACTTTCAGCATCGCACTCTTATTATTCCACATATTGGCTTCCATGTGTCGTGAATTAGTCTTTCCAAACCTTCTCTTTGAGGAAATTTTAGCTGTTATAGTTTCGTTTTTTTTCTATTTATGGTGGTGTTTGTTATATAAGTTTATTAAAATATCTCAAAATTTGTCCCTTACAAAAAAGGGAACGAATTACATTTTTGAACTTTCCGGCTTCAGCTGCATTTCCTCATAAAAGTATGGAGACTGGGAATTTCGTTTTATTTTAAGGAAATTGTTGTTATTACGTTGTTTTTTTCTCTGATTTATTTTTCTATTTATATGTTTAGATAAAATGTTGTTGGCATTTTTATTTTTCCCCTCACTTCCCTTTCTCCGTTTCTCTTTTAGTCAAGAAATTGTATTACGAAAAAATCAGATTTGTTCATCCATCTGTTCTTAACTATAATTGTATTTTATGCCCTCCGTTGAATTTTTGGAAGGTATAGTATATCACTCAAGTAGTATTATGTGCTTAATTAGTTCAGGAAGGAATTTACATGTTCATGGAATTCCAATCTCTTCCATCTCTTTTTTGTACCAGCTGGCAGCAGTCATTTTTGTTTGTTTGTACCATTCGTTATATGTATATGCGATTAATAGCACACATACGCAACAGCAGAGATGGATTTGTTGTGTCTTAATATATCATCGCGGTTTCTCCTTTCTATTGGGACAATTCCGAGATAACTTTGGTTTATTGTACGCACATAGCCATTTTTGAACCTAATTTGATAGAAGTATTGTTTGTTGATATGATCATGATTTATTATTTTCCTATAATGTCAAAGAATGTTTTATTGTTTTGCAGGCATTACTTCGCTCTATTTTGTATGTGCGTGTGTGTGTGTGTGTGTGTGTGTTGTATGTGTACGTGTGTGTGTGTGCGTGTCCTTTTTGTTCAGAGTATTAAAAATAACCTCATTTTGTGACAGCAAGTAATCCGATTGCACTACGATTGAAATGGTTTTCGGTATCGGGAGAGCTCAATAA